CATAAATTTGAATTTGAATTATTTCTGCATTTCACAAGAAAACATTGCATTAGCATTGTTATCATTAAACATGTTTTTAAAACATGAACATCTTTGAACGGAATAGCCAAGTGTCCTGACCATTAGAATCAACTTCATCACTTATTATTACTGAATTTTGTTTTGTTTCTCTTTCTATTCTTCGTTTGAGTTCGCCGAGAGGTCGTCATAGAGACGGTCGATATTGAGAGAAACAATACTCTGCAATTCTGTATACGTGATGATAAATAGATAACTGGAACAACTTGTAAGCACAAAGAATAAACATGACGAACCAATAGGCTTGATCCAGTATCACATCATCAATAAGATCATATCCTATTTTGACAATAGCAATTACCAACCGAGCAGCCATATCGTGAATATCAGATTGCTTACACATGAATTGATAAGTGTCGAAAACATCAGTAAATTTGATATTCCAAAAGAAATTTGAATCGATTTCTTCAAAAGTCTGATTGAATTGAAAGTCATAAATGCCAAAAAAATCAAAGAGTATGATTATATTCAAGATATTGTCAGTCTCAGGTAAACGATTAAGGGTATCCGTTCCCCTTCCGAGATTTCTTCAAAACGGTACATCAGAAAAATTTGAAATTTTCAGGGTAGGTAAATTTTGATGAGTACAGCAAAAGTTGTCATAGACTTAAACTTTTCGGATGCTGTCTTCTATGAGATAATAAGGTTACAATGACGAAAAGTTCCTGAAAAGTAAGAAATGTCTACCCCAAATAGTGACTATAATATGTGAAAAAAGTTTCAATTCAATCTCTCTTACCAAGTCGAAAAAACGGGAGCAAAACAGTACTTTTCCTGTTAAAAATTCGATTTCTTCTTGAGCTTTCTTTAAGCTTTAAAGACAATTGTTGGATCCAAAAATATACTCAGTAGATAGTAACTACTTGGCTCTATACAATGGCAGCAAATACTGTCAACATTAAAAGTTTTAAAATCATGTGCTCCTACAGTCCTTTCTGATGACGACCAATCAGTCCATGCATCAGTCTAGCTGTTGTTTTTAGGTGCTTTTTATATAATGTTATAGAAAAGTGGATGAAAAATACGAAAATACTTCGTTTTCTCTCTGTTTGCATAGGATATGATTATGCTATTGAAGTGCTACGATGAATGCAAAAACATGCTTTTTTCTTCAAATACTTCGATTAGTCAATTTCTTACTTCCTACATATTGTCAAAATATTCGTTTATGAGCATTTCTCTTACAGATCAAAGTTGACTAAGCTTTTCAAAGAGAGGTTTTCAATGTGGCTGATAATTTTATAATTATTCATCAAAATATGCTGACATTCTATCCCGAACATTTGAATAATAATTTGACGAAAATAATTCACAGTTTCAAACATCTCTTATTTGTTAAAATTTTGAAAAATCACTATGCAAAAATGCTGATTCGTAATATTTTGCTAACCGCACCGCAATTGTTTCTAATATTCAATTCGATATTTGATGTCGACGCATACAAACATATATAGCAAGAAATATAATCAGATCATTCCTTTTCTTTTGCTCCTCCTCCAGTACATTTCGACTCATCCATACATGTAATTGGAGTGTGGGTGTGGGTGAGTATTTGCATAGGTCTGTGCTATGAGAGAAGAGAAGTTTCACACTCACACTCAGTCGTAACAGCTTTTTATTTCCTATAGAAAACCTATAAGAATTTGAATCATAAATGCCTTAATATGTTTCTTATTATTCAGCTATATCTCAATAAAAATATGATATTCGTGATTAACGTGATGAGTTCTCTCGGATCCGATACAAAATCTTTAAATTAAAGATTTAGCACTTTTTCCAGTCTCTGGGAAGCACGTCAGACACGAAAAAATTATGAAATCAAATTTTAAAGTTTTAGTCTAAGAAAAAATATCAGAAGAGTGTCCCCATAAGTACACATGTATCACTTGATCCCAATTTCGTGAAATGAAAAATAGTGAAATCGCAATTCCTCCTTTGTAGATGGTAAAATGTTACGGGACTATAAGAATGTAATGAAAATAATCAAGAGAAGAAAAAATAATTGTCATTCTCAATAACTAAGATACATCAGAATCCCAATATTTTTAACACTTTCGCATAAATTCGTAAAAAGTTTTTCAAATCAAGTCGTACATATGATTGATCGTTCTAATGAAAAACTTTAAAATATTATTATACGATAGTATTCAGTAGTAAAATCTACACATTTTAGTAGTCTCTTACATATTTAAGGCATGAATGTTCGAATCTTAACAAATAGAATTATTAAAAGGGATAATAGACTCATTACTCGAATGATTTGTTATAAACGACGTCACCCAGTATGGTAGTGTAATGAAAGTATCACTTAGACATATTCTAAGAATACGAATTTGTGCATCTTGACTTTACTTTAAGAAATAGCAGAGTTTAAAAGAAAATGTTTCTCTAACGATAAACTTATCTTTGCCATCGTTAACTCAGATTTTTGTTCAGATTGACATGAGTCAGAAGATACAGGAAAAAAACTGATAATGAAGTTGAAATATGAAACCATACTGAATAATTAACTTTATTTTATTCCAATTAGATAAATAGAACAAGAAAAACTAAAGTTCAATATCAATGTGCCTCTATGGCTTAGTGGTAAAGCGCCAGTCTAGTAAACTGGAGATCCGTAGTTCGATCCTGCGTGGAGGCATCGTATTTTTATATTTATTTTTTTATTCTTTTCAACATTATTCAAACTCTTGGCTATTAATTAAATGAAGAGATTTTTCTTTATAGAATTATTTAGTTGACTTGAAAAGTTTAATGAGAACTTATCTGACAAATATCAAAATTGAAAACAAGTCTTATTTAAATCATTATGTAGTAGACCTGGTCAAGTACACATTATACGGTACATGTATTTTTTTGAAAAAATTGTTTCCTGTTTTCCTGTGAAAGACTTTATTCGCTTATTCAACTTTACACTTGATGATAACATTACTGTGTTACAACTTCCATTTCGGTCTTTTGCTAGAAAAAAACATTTTACCAAGAGCGGTACTTTGAAGAAAGGTAGAATTGTGTTAGAAACAAAGAAAACTTAGAGATTGACAAAGTAGATGCTACGAGAAAAAACTTGTTAATTTATTGTTGATATGGGTGAATCTCGGCATATTCTTATGTTACCATGGAAATCAAACTGTTTTGGCTAAAATCTAGACTGGTTAACTCTCGATTACTTATTAGAGACTGAAACAGAATCGAACGAAGAAGCTTTTTAATGGAATCAAATCAAATCTGAATCGAGAGTTTCTTATTCATTTCAGCCTCTAGTATAAATTTGTGTATGCATGACGAGAACATCCACATTCATACCAACATTGACGACCTCATCCACAAATTGACTCCCACAGCTACAGCCACAGTCTCACACTAACCCCTTTAAAAAACTTAAAATCCTTAACGTTGAAATGCGCGTTGCCAATATCAGAGACAAATACCTTAGTAAATACCATATGTAACACGTCGAGACGAAAACGAAAAGTAGGAAAACACATTTTTCAGCGTTAACATAACTCGTTTCTCATCGTGCGTACATATATGTGAGAAGTCAAGTTTATGAGAGTTCATACAAATGTTAGAACGACTTTTTATTTGTTTAACAGAGAAGAAATGGCATAATAAAGTGAAAATCTGCGGTTTCTGAGAACTCTTGATCATTTTCCTTTCATAGCCCTGAACCGCGATTGTTAGTGAAAAACGAATACTTTTTGCTTTTTTATTAGTTGACGTGCCTCCTTGAAAGTTACATGGTTGCTTAAATATTCAATCTGATAAGAATTTTTGAAAGCTCGTTTTAACTCAATGATCGTGATTCCCGTTTGAGTTTTCAAGTCCATTCAGAAAACATCCAGATAAGATACTTTCATCCTGGATGGCGCGCCAAGACGCTCAAAATGGCAAAATTTGTATCTCGAAAACGCTCAAACTAGAGTTGCAATTAGGGTGTTAAAACGCATTTTCAGAAACTCTTGTCAGGCAAGGTGGCACAAAACTATGCAAACACAATCTTGAACTCAACTTTTGGATTCTATGGTATCGTTGTTTTCTTTAAGATAAAACGTAATTTTCTCCGTTCGGTGACACTTGGATTCAAAAAAAATAAAATATTTGGTATGAATGCAGAAAACTGTATCACACAACATAAGATATCTTAGTTTTTTTCAAAAAAAAAAGATTTTTGACAAAAATTTAGAGGAAAAGCCTGTTTCAATAAGATAAGAAAAAAATTGTGTTTCACTTTGTCTTCTCATTCACCTTCGCTCCGTTTTGAAAAACAGTGTTTTTGAGAAGAAAGAGTGATATTTATGGCCAAGAGTTATGTCTGTACACCCTATAGAAATCGTTTATGGTGCAACTAATGAAAGGAATGAGTGTGTGTAAACATTCATCGCTTGCAAGCATGCAACGTAGTGCAAAGAGAAAAAAAACAGAGTATAGTATTAAAATGCATCTGATAATTATATGAAGAGAGATATCGACTGACGTTGGGATAAAATGTCCTTTTCATTTAGTGGATTGATTATTATCAATATTTTCTTGCTCGCATATTAGTCATTTTCATTCGTTTGTAGAAGTGCTACACATTTTAGTTTCACTAAGCAATACACTAATATTTTCCTCATTACAAAGTCCATTAAAAACTCTTTTTTTTGCTAATTTCTATTTGATGTTGATGACTTGCTCTGTAAATCATGTTCTGCATCATTGTCAGAATCAATAAAGACGTAAATGAAAGAAAGAAAGAAAGAAAAAAGCAGCAATCACCGTATTACCATCGTGGTATGTGCATTAGGTTATTTTTATTATTTCATTCATAAAAATCAAATAGAGCTCATAATAGAGAAAGCAAAATAATATGAGTATTGATCGTATTTCTTTTACTATTTCAGTGACTTTGATGAAATTCAAAATTGAAGCATAACTCAAGTATGATCTCCTTGCATCATCATCATGTTCTTTATTTTGTATCTATTGTAACGATTGTCACTTCTTTTTCGCCTGATCAATCTTCCTTCGATGCCTATGGTCTCAAGCTCGCTGCTAATGATATACTTCTCGTTGAAGCATTTGCTTCTCAAGACTCATTTTTACTTCGTCTTGCTCCCTTCAATCACTCGCTCACTTGTACACTTGACTACAACGATTCAGGTCAATATGTCTATGCAGTAGCACTCGCTCGACAAATGCAAGTTAACGATACCATTCGATTCGCCTTCATCGGCGTGAACAGAAGAACAAATGTTCCATTCATTGGTTCATTGAATTATGCAGGAACTAGTGGAGCTGCAATGATATCGACACAAAAAAGTAACTTCTCATGCAGTGCATGGAACACAAATAATTATAAAATACATAGTTTCAATGAATTTTTGTATGAAGAAAACGATTCAAATGGTAATATGGATTTCTTCGTTGTCGCTGTCGAGTAAGTATTTCTTTCTTCCATAGATGAAGTTGTTTCTCTGAATATGTAACTAACTGCTGTAAAACACAATTGCGACTTATTATTGAAGTATATAGTGAGAAAAGCGAATCTTCACAAACATGTGACTGACATATCAATGTTCTATTTTCGACTGTTTTGACCTGAAACTTTGGATTGTGAACAGCCTTCAGATGTCAACATTTTCTCGGTCCTCTATCCCAGACGTAACAGGCACGATTCAAAAATATCTTAAATGTGAAAGATTATGACAGACATAAATGACAAACTGAAGAAAAAAATATAGGGTAAAATGTGACGATTACCTCTACCCTCGATTGTTATTCAGCGTGATACTATTTTGTATTATTAAGGTGAATTTAATTCTGATAAAAAACAATTTTCAAATCCGTACTATACCAGAGCGTTCGCCTCGTAGACTACTTATCCTTGGAAAATATTTTAATTCAATTGTTTCAGAATGTTTCTAATGACAAGTATGAAAAAAGATCTAAAATAAAAAAGAAAACGGAAATCTTTATCCAAACGAAATTCTTAAAAGACAAGGAATTTTTTTTTCGAAATAAGATGCATCGTTTTTCATTGAGAAGCTTCAAGAGATTTATTCTTACTATAGTTTTAATAAAATCAAATATGAAAACAAGTAAAATGCTTTTGGTGTAATGTCTACACGAGAGTGAAGAAGGGAGTTTTTAGGTTGAAAATTTTAAATTCACAAAAATCTAAAGTTCAAGCATCGAAAGCTTCAAAACGATAACTAACTACAAAATTCAACGCACTGCTTTTTGGTCATATCGATATATCTATCACAATTTTTGGGAATAGACTAGAGGATTCACTTTTCTCGCTTCATACTTCAACTCACATAAAGAGTTGAGTTTGAAAAAAAGTTGCAAACTATAACATGTACGCAGTAATTCAAAAAAGTGTACCCCTTTGTGAAATATAATGTTTACGTCTACAATATTCAAGTTCGGAATTAATGTTTTTTGTAAAAGATAGAGCTAAGAAAGTGCTAATATGTAAATAGAAATGTTTCTATTTTGGAGAGACTCTACCACAAATACACACATGAATCAAGCTTACTCCAATATGAATTACAATCTGCAACGAAATCATTGTTGCTTCTTAAACTATTTTCCAGTACAAACTTTAACAACTCAACTTTTGACTTCAAATATTTTTCATAATGAGTATACGATTGATATTAGATCCACCCAAACAAAAAGAGTAGCTGAAAAATCAAACCATAATCGAGTATCGATTAAAAAACTTCAACGCTTAGTTTTGTGACTTCTTTTTCGGACGGATTATTTATTTTAAACCGTGAATTTTATCAATTAGTATCGCATCGAATTTCTTTCTATTCTGCATTAAATATGCGATTTGAGTCGATGATTCTGAATGGTCATCGATTAAATTCGATTGTCAGAGAACGTAGTCGACTATTGTTGATTAAACAAATTTAACAAAACACTTTATACCATTCAGACTTTTTCTACTCAATATTAATCATAATTGGACAATTTCAATTCTTTTTGCAAGTATCTAAACATTTTAGACATTATTAGTTGATCTAGGTTAAAGGGCTGTTACTACACTTTCACAATTTCCGAACCTAAAAAAAATTAGTAAAAATCGATACCAGACAGCTGAAATAAGTTATATACGGCTGAAGAGTCATCTGCACAAGAATATTTGCGAAAATATAAGATTTTAATCGACTATACTTTCATGAAAAGTAATTAAAATGCCATGGCTCTGATAAGATTCAAATAAAAGTTTAAACGTAGCATGGATAAAAGTAAACATAAGATTGAAACTTAAATGATTATCGATTCTGCGATTAAAATCAGAATAGTTGCGGGATATGTTTACGTGAATATAGCTATACAAAATTTCAATTTAAAGATAGTTTTCAGTAAGATATTCTTCCGTGTCTTTGGAACATGTTTCATTCTAGTACACATTTCATAGGAAATGAAGAACGTTTTTATCGTGAATTATAGTGCATCTATCTCAACAGAAAATCACCTTTATATAGGACCTTTTTCAGTTTTATCTTTTGCTAGAAGAATTGAATAAACATGAAGAAATAAACTTCGGACTAATGTGATTCTGCCGTAGCATAGAAAATAAGGTAGTGCTAGAGTGATGACAAAATAATGATTCGACTATCTGTATTTCACTTTTTTAGCGATAATTTTTTTCAAAGATAATCAAAAGAATACTAAGAGTTTAATATACGAAGAAAAGTTTGAGAAACAAGACGGGATAAATAAATATTTCGAAACACTATCTGATATAATTCATTTCGATGTGCAAGGAAAAACCAATTTTTTGCAGACTGCTTTTGAAAAAATCTTTCATCTAAAGTAAAATCTCAATGGAATAACAGAGTACTGATATCTAATCATATATATTTGACACATTCTTCTTTAGACCAATGGGTCAGTTTGCCTACGCATTCGCCCAGAGTTTTCTTCTTTT